TCATAACTCTCTTTCATAGGGTATGACCAAAGCACACTCTTAAATGAATAATAAAATATTATTGTTACAATCAAACGCAGAAGCGTTATCATCCTTTGACGTATGTACAATTTTTACATACAGTTAGAGACTCTAAAAATTTTTACATTACAATACTGATTAGATATAAAACCATAATCTCAAGTCTTAAACTTTTCAGAGCTTAAGTCCAAAATTGCCCTCCTGTATCACTCGCTATTCAGCAGCTATATCCTCAGTATCTGAAAGGATGATATGTGGGGTGAGATTCACAATCTCAGTGAGTAGTGCACTACGGTATCATAACATTTTTATCATGCAATATATTTATATATCTATAAAGGCAGAATAACGATTAAAAAATCACATACATCGAATATTTAGAGAGAAACATAGTCATAGTGCTATATTGTACAATGAGCCTAATTTCATCATTATTATGACGGGCAGAGAACAAACACATCTAGCTATATCATGTGTAAGCACAGATTACCAATAACACCAAACTCTTGGTCATATGTAAATATTTTTGTACATGGTTTGCATCTCCTTGGTGCTTGTATTTAATGATATTTTATACTTTTTATAAAAAAACTTATCATGCATCATTTTCTTTGCTTAAGGATAGAGAAAGAAGGGTGTCCTAATTTACCGGCAATTTTGAGGACTCGGATATGTACTTTTGTACATAACCTTAATGATAGAGAACGAAGGGTGTCCTAATATGTATGTATGAAGTGTGTAAGATTTAGTTTCCAAACATGTTCTATTAAAAATTAAATCGTATTTAGGTAGATGTATGGAGTGTGAGATTTCACTTCCTAACATATTTTATCCAAAAATTCATAACAGGCCCTTGATTAGAGACATTTGAGGTCCTAAAGGAACAATCTTTTTTGATAGAAAAAGAAGTATTCTAAAGATAAAAGATGAATACATAAAAAGACAACGGACAATTAAATATCTTCCCAGAACAGAAAGGAGAAAATGTATCACCTTTAATCAAGGAATGCTGTCACATGTCTATGCAACAAAGACAAAGTACTCCTGAAAAAGTTCGTGCCTTTGCCCAAAGGTAAGCCTAAAAGGACAATTTATCTCCAGCACATGGAAAATGTGTAGCTTTATCCTTGAAGATTCTTGTGTTTCTCTCCAACCAAATCACCCACAAAGTGGCCAAAATTATCCCCCTCCATAATGTCAAGCTCTGTTTCCTTATCCCAAAACCTTCGAGGGCAGATATAATAAGCCCCTCAGGATTACCAGAAATAGCCCAAGCCACTTGTGAAATGTCAAAAAGATAGGCTACAAATTTCACGCCAAATCGTAATGCAAAAAGAGATGATTCTGATTCTCTGCAGTTTGATAACACATAACACATAGTCCAAGAGACAAATCACGATGTGTGTGCGAGTTTGGAGCAAGTCATTTATATTCAGCATACTTAAGGCAGCAGTTCAAGCAAAACGACATAAGTTTTGGAGCAAATTATTTTTATTAAGTGTTTTTAAGGCAGCAGTCCAAACAAAAGAATATAATAAAAAATGTAAATTTAAAACTGATAATGATTGAAAATTATATGTGGCTGAGATCTTTTAGATGAAAATGGTCAAACAAAAGGGATAAACGATTGTGCTACGACTCAAAAAAGGAAAGATAGTACTTCTACAACTTTACAGAAAAGGTACATATATATATATATGTATATGTTAATAAGCTAAATATAATAGTTCTATGTCATGTGAAGGACGGATGGAACAGAATATGTTATAATACTCCTCTAATAAATGTAGTATTTATCTGAAAGAGGGAACATTGTTTCTAAGCATGTTTTCCTTATTTTTATTTTTCAACTTTACTTTCATTGTCAATGACCATACTTAAAAAGAAAACAGAAAAGAGAATGTTAAAATTGTTTTTGCTAGGGAAAAAATTGAAAACATAAAATCCTCTACTTAGTACATTCCAGATTGTTCATTTTCTTCAGTACTTTTCACTTTAGTTGCAATTGTTCATTTCATGTATTGGGTTCCTTTTGATGTGTAATGATCATCTGTGCTCCATCCACATGTCTTTATTCTTCCTAGATGGCAGCATTCAACATCCAGGAGGCACTGATGTGGAAAGAAAAAATTGAGTTTGTAATCGATCAGGTTTGTTTATCTTTCTTTCTTTCTGTCTTTTTTTTTTCCTAATATTTTGGCTCAACCTTTGTTTTTTCTTTTCATTCTCGTGAGGCTTCTTGTGATCCAGTTTCAACATCCCATTGCCAGATTTGAGTTTGTTTTTTGATTTGCCTGTTCTATTTGGTGCACTTCATTGAAGCGTTGTATATTTAATTCTATTATTTTATTATTATTGTTTTTGTTTTGCAATACAATAGTCATTTGATTTTGTAATGAATTGGATACTTCTTATGTATTGTGGTAAATGTCAGTGTTATCCATTCATTGCATGGATTAATGCTCATGAAACTGATAGTTTGATACTTTTACACGCAGCATCAAGATTCCCAGGCTGTAAATGGTAACAAATATTTATCTTTTGAATATAAATCTGGGATGGATAATGGCAGAATTGCGTCTTCATCAGACCATGAAAGTCAGTGAGTGCCTTTTGACATTATATCTTTTGTGTAGGCTGTAAATTGGTGCTAACAAATGTATCCATGTTCTGGAGCTCTATCTTGTTTATTATTTTCTTGGGGTTAATATATGCATCAGTGAGCATTTGTAATATTATCATATACAATGTAGTACTTGCTATAATAGATAAAGGACTGTAATCAGTTTGTAATGGCAGTTCATTAAGGATGGTACATGCTCTTTTTTCTTTTCTAGACTGGTTGTTTAACTGTGGCCTCCTAGGACCTAAGAAATTCCTAATGATAGAAGGAAATTGTTTAATATCATTTTAGAAGGGGCAGGCCAATATATTCTTAGGATCACTAGAGAAGGAGACTAGGGTTAGACTTCGTAAGT